CTGTCAACACCTCACACCGGTGTCACCGCGCGCGAGTGGGAGTGCTAGTAGACCGGAGGGCTACGAAGCCTTCACACTCCAAGGGGCTGGCGACTGTGTGACTACGGCTTTAGACTCTAGAAGCTTTAATAACGTTGTTGGGAGCTGAACAGTGTTGCTAGTGTTAATAACAACAGAACAACAGTGGGGCTTCCCAACAACAGTAGCTAACGTTAGGCCGGCTGAACAACAATATAAGGAAGGCCTATCACTGACAGAGGCAGTGACCCACGACGATCTCCACTGTCCACACTCCAGCGTCCAGCGTACAGGTAATACCCCGAAAATACCTGAAAACCCCCGGGTATTACCCGGTTTTTTGGGCATTTTCTGCTTGCTGACCACAGAACAACAAGTATCAACAGACAACAGTAACAACAGTGCAGCATGGGCTGGGGAGTGGGGTGAACACTTGGAAGAACACAACGTTAAGCTTATAAGGATTTCAGCCAACACTACTACCAGCGCAACTGTTAGAGGCCCAAAGTTAATGTTAAACAGCTCTAACTGTGACTGCTTTCTCCGCCGCAGCCTCACCCCCAGCCGGAGCCGCGAGCCGGGCAGCCGGCGCTGCCGAGCTCGCCCGCTCCAGGCTCTCCACGGTCCACGGAGCCCCCCGCACGCGCACCGAGTCCAGTGATGGCCATTTACTGGTATAGCCCCCCAGTCCCCCAGAAGCAGAACAATCAAACACTCTACGCACTACGGCCAAAACACAATCAAATGGTGGTAAGATTTACCACGACTTCTGAGGCAAAATCTGACAAAAATCGGAGAAATCGGCAAAATACCCGGTATTTTCCTGGTATACCGGGTTTTACCAGGTATACCCGCAAAAGACCCCCGTACTTTTTGCCAATTTGGCTGAATTTGGCCGCAAACCAGCCTCTAGACTCGAGGTATGGATAAACCAGACACCACTATGTTATATCATAGGATATAACATACTGAGATACCAGGCTCTTCCCTGGCATATCAGCTATCAAGAAAACGTCTGACTTCTAGGAGGAGGAGCTCTGTATTCTGCTTTTTCGCCACAGACCGCACGGAAACATACGCGCCAGCCGCGCAGCAGCCTCACATGCAGCGCCGACCGCATGCCCGCGCCCTGGGCCGCCGACGACCCGGTCGGGCGGGCTGCGCGGCCGCCGCACACCATCAGGCATGCGCACGACCACCGCAGCACGCCGCAGCCCACCGCGCAGCCCTGCCAGCCAGGCCTGCGCCTCACAGCTACACAAACAGGCGCACAGCAGAGCACAGCGCACAGTGCACGCCGGCGCGCGCGCAGCACACGCAGACTCACGCGCGATTCCAACACGCACACGCGCACAGCACGCGCGCACCGCACGCGAGCGCAGCGCCGCACACAAAGCACACTTGCCCACAGCAGCAACAGCAGGCCTGCCACAATCCACATCTCACACACGCGCGCGCACGCACACTCCCCACTGCCGGCGCACGCATTGGGCGTCGCCGAGAGGAACCAAAGGACACCGGAGCGACTCCCCAAGGCATCGAGCGGTCTCCCTCCAGTCACCTCCAGGCATCAAGCTGGCTCCCTCCAGGCATCAAGCTGGCTCCCTGCAGGCATCAAGATGCTCCCTCCAGGCATTTGGCTGACTCCCCCCAGGCATGAGCTGCATCTCACGATATCTCATCCATCTCGCCCAATCTCGCCTCATCTCGCCCCATCTCGCCCCATCTCGCCCCATCTCGCCTCATCTCGCCTCATCTCGCCTCATCTCGCCTCATCTCGCCTCACCTCGCCTCATCTCGCCTCATCTCGCCTCATCTCGCCTCATCTCGCCTCACCTCGCCTCATCTCGCCTCATCTCGCCTCATCTCGCCTCATCTCGTCTCATCTCGCCTCATCTCGCCTCATCTCGCCTCATCTCGCCTCATCCTCCTTACCTAGGCTACTCGACCGCGGTGGCCGAGATCGACCCGAGATCGACCCGAGATCGACCCGAGATCGACCCGAGATCGACTCGAGATCGACCCGAGATCGACCCGAGATCGACCCGAGATCGGCACGAGCGATCAACCCAACAATGCCCCAGAGCCCCCTCCGGGGGGACCCCCCCTCACCCCGAGTGTCCGTGTCCTTCGCGAGTCACCGATGGGGAGCGGGGGGGGGTGGGAGATGCACAGGGGAGGCTGGGGAGGGGGGGGTCCACACTGAAGACTGCCGACCGCGGGGGGGTTTTGTCCCACAGGGTTTTACCCTCCGCGTGAGGATCGGCGCGGCGAGGGGGTAGGTTCGAATTCGCCGCGCAACATTTCACCCCCACAGGACCCCGCCCACCCCCCCTCATGGTCCCACCTAGCACCCCAATGAGCTTTCGCACCCCCTCCTTGCGCAGTGTCCCCCACTATGTGTCGCCGCCTTCGGGGCACGCTATCCTGTGCAGTCAGGGCAAGTGGGGGCGAGGCGCAGTCCCATCTCTCCTGTGTACGGGTGGGTTCTGTCCCTAGTCTCGGAGGGGGGCTTGAAGCTAAGAATATTTTATTTTTTTCTGCTTTTTCGCCACATCCCACAGAAAACATCCGGGCCATGGGAATATCGGTCCAGACGCTCTGGGTTCTGGTTTTTCGAGGTGTGAACGATCTCCCCGGAGGGGTCATTCCGGCGGAATGACCCCTCATTAACTCATCGGATTCCGAATGGGTCGAACGGGAGTACTAAGACAGCAGCATGTTCTGGGTGGGAGGAACCCGTTGGGGGGAACGCGGCGGTCTGGTTTCTGGTTTCTGGTTTTTCGATATAGCAGTGGTTCCGGCATTATGGTTTCTGGTCGCTGAATGCATGCCGCTTTTTGCTGTTCCCACTTGAAAAAAATTCGGATGGTGGTCACCTGTTCATTGGCCGGAATGAGCTCATTAGGACGAAGCGGGAGATGTATTCACACCGCAGAAACCAGACCCACAGGCAGATCCCACGGGAAATCGAGGCGGGTGTCCCAGAAAACAGATCCCAGAAAAAACAGAGCGCGCCGCAGAAACCGACCGGGAAACCGCCATGGGAAACCGCATCAGAAACCCTATGGGAAACCGAGGTCTGGTGTCTGCTTTATCCACGAAAATGCTAGACTCGGCTCAGATCCCGAAAAATTGATGATTCCACGGAGTTTCGTAATTTACCATACTCTCTTCTCATACCATACCACTCCCCAGGAGAATCAAAAAAGTGGTATAAATACCACTCTTTTACCAGTAAATGGCCATCACTGATTCCGAGTCATCAGACGCATCCACACCTTTCCTCTCTCGCACCACACACACACAGTCATGGTGATTTCACACGTGCAATGTGTACGTAGTCGTAGAGCCTTGCCAGATGTCAGAGAGCGCCCTCATCTAGGCGCCTCGTGACCACTTTTCATCTCGCGTCACCTGTGAGATGAGAAAACCAGCCCGTCCCGAGGAGCTGGTCGAGCTGCGCCGCCGGCTCCTCCGTGCAGCCGATGCGCAGGCAGTCCGCGGGAAGTGAGGAGGCACCGTGCTGCAGCCACGCGGGCCACACGTAGTTCTCCCAGTAGACGCGGTACTCCTCCGCGCTGACGCCGCGCTCCTCGTACGAGCTCCTGCCGAGGTGCTTCCGCGTGTACTTTCTGCTGCACAGCTCGGTGGCCGCGTGCTCATCCGCCCACAGCACCGCCGCATGATCGCACATCTGCAGCACTGTCCTCGCGCCCGGGTGGTCGGCGAGAACAAACATGCCGTCCACGACCACAGACTGCGCCGCCTGCTTCGCCGAAACGACCGCGTCCGCGACGCCGCTCCAGTCGATCGCGGCCGGCACGTTCCAGTCTGCGTCGCCGCGCAGCAAAAAGGCGCCTGGAACCTCCTCGCCCGGCCACGGCAGCGCCTGCAGGTCGAAGCGAGGGCAGCGCTCGCGCGGCAGGAAGAAATCGTCGCAGCTGACTACTCGCACCGCCGCCGCTCGCTGCAGCTCGAGCACCAACGTGGACTTCCCGGCCGCCGTGCAGCCGCCCAGCGCCACGACGACCATTTCGCTCTCGCGGGAAAACGACAGCACCGCTCAGGCCCGGGAGACGGTGAGCAGTGCTAAGCGCGGCATCAGTATTTTTTTTGTTTCCCAGAGCCAGGCTCGTGCAGGTTGGGTCCTTCTCCTTTTTTCTTTCTTTATTTTAAGCAGTTAAAAGAAACAGCCGTTTTCTCGCGCCGACGACGCTACACATCATCCGACACGTTTTGTGTATATGGCCGCCCACGCTGATCGCCGATGCGGCATGTTGATTGACCGGCACGTCCCGAAGAATGGCGGCTCGACGATGCGCTCCTTTATGCGGCGCAATCGCGCCGTCTGCAGCTACGTCGGGTGCGGAGTCTGTCCCGAGCCGTTCCATTGCCGCCCAGCAGCTTACGCCACGGTGACTGACAGGTACGACGTGTCGCGCACGTGGCCGTCGCGCGTCGGCTTTACGCACATCAA